TCAGGGTGGTCAGCTGTAGAGACCCAGTGAGTTGGAAGGTGTGTGTGCACATGCGTGCTCATATTTACTGTGTGTGTCCACGTGGATATTTGTGTGTGCCCACCAGCGATGCATCTGGTCCTTGCTCGGTCCAGATAACGGGCACGTGTGCTTGAGTGAATGCCGGCATCTCTGAGAACCAGCCATCACCACGGCGCTGCATATCGCTAAGTGTTTGGGTCCACTGTGTTCAAATGCTCATGCAGGTGGGATGCTAGGGTTAGTGAAATCCTAGGGGCCAGAACTGAACCAGCGTGGAGGCAAAGACCCCCTCCTTCATTCCTTTCTCTCCAAAGAGAGCTGAGGGGATCCTGAGAAGGGCAGAGTTGAAAAAGCTCTGAATAAATGTTTCTAAACTGAGTCTTAACTTGTAACATTGACAGTGTCATTAACCCGAACTCTGAAATCACTCTGGAGTCCTTGTGTTTAACGTTTAGTCACTAAATATTCAGCATCGATGGCTCATTTTCATGTTACTTAGACCCGACTCACATGTATCTCTATGACACCATCTCCATCTCGCCTCTGCTTAAATATTGTTTAATACTTAAATCTCATTTAATTACTTTCTTTACTAAGGGCAGATACTTAGGAAATAGCTTTTTAAAAGGCAAAAACCGTGTCTTTAAGTAAAATTGTCTCTTTCCCAAAGAATGGTCTAATCTGGCATCTGTTTATTTCTGGAAGGAACCTTGATTTTGCTAATACATTTCTATGCATTAGAGAAAAAAAAAGCCATCCATAAAAAGACAATTACAGAGATGCAATCAAGCATTGATAGCGGTATTCAGACACATCCCAAAGAACATTCGAGAGAAGAAGGATTGCAAGTTTAGTTTTATGTAGCTTCTCTTAAATCAATTTTTAAAGTAATTTTCTCACATCCAATGAGGTAAATTTGATTTCTGTAGTCAGTATTCATGTTCCAGAAAACAATATGCACCTTGTTCTATAATTATATGATGCCTATTGTTTTAGCCCAGAGACTTTATTTTATTCATTGCAGAGTCAGGTTCTCCCTAGAGTCTACGTCACAGGCTGGTAATGAGTTAGGTGCTCACAGAAGCCCCATTAGGCATCCAGCGGCCCCTCGTGTCCTTGAAGAGCTGACGCACACCCCTCAGCACTTGAGCGATCACCCAAGAGTTATGGCTTTGTCCCGGGAGCAGTGAGGAAAAGCAGTCGGAGAGGTTAGATGACTTTGTTAGGGGTTCACCCAAAGTCACCCGTCAGGTCTGGGATTACATGCATGGGCCCTTCCACCTCTGCCTGCTGCTCTGAGTTGAGCCTTCTCTTTGGTCAATCCAGTGTGCCCTGGCCTGAGGAACGCAGCCTGGAGAAGGAGACAGGGAGGGGAAGCAGGGACGAGACTTGAGACCAGTTCCTTGGCTTCCCGCCAGCCACCTGGTTTTGACTCTGTGTGACTGGCAACATTTGGGTGGATGGGAAGGCAGGAGGTGGAGCCTCAGCTGTCAAGCTCAGAGAACCAGAACCAGAACACAGTCTCTGCAGAAAGCCCAGCTCAGCACCTTGTACAGTCCACTCAGTGAATATCTACTGAGGGCCCACTGCGTGCTAGGCCCTGCGGTAGTCACAGGGTACACAGCAGTGAGCACCGTGCACAAGACTCCCTGCCCTTCCCCGTGGAGCTCACATTCTCCTGGGGGGAGACAGACAGCAAGCAATATGCTAAATGGTAGTAGGTGCAATGAAGAGAAATAAGTAGGAAGGGACATGGGGGGTTGGGCCGACACATAACATTTGAGCAGACTTGAAGGAGGGGGACCAAGCCAGACTGATAGCCTTTGGGAAGGAAGGGGCAGCAAGTCAAAAACCCCTAGGGGGCAGGATGCCTGGCATGTTAGAACGACAGCAAGGGGCCACAGTACTGGAGTGCAATGAGCAAGGGAGAATGGAAGGCGATGGGGTGGGAGAGGGGACAGGTGGATCACACCCCAGACCCTCTAGGGCTGGGACTCTGAGTGAGGACAGATGTGCTCTGGCCACTGTGTGGAGGGCAGACTGCAGAGGAGCAGAGGTGGAGGTCCCTGCCAGCCCCCAGACAAGAAGATGGTGCTTTGGCCCACGGTAGTAGCAGTGGAGGGGATAAGAGAGGATCAGATTCTGAATACACTGTGAGGGAGAGCTCTACTTTCTCACTCCATGAGGACTGGGCTTTTGTTTGGTTTTGTGGTTTTCAGGGGTTTTTTTCTGAGGATTAAACAAGGCATTGTATGTCTGGTTTCCCGGCACACAGTTAGCTCTTGAAGACTGTGCACTGGTGTTGTTACCAGGGCATCACTCTGCAGTTGGTCTGTGGGAACCCCAGCCTTGAGGCACTTAGCCTGATGGAGGCTGTGGTCCCTGTGACCACACAACCCCATCGAGGTGGCAACAAGAGCAGAGGGTGCCAGAACCCGAGACTGGCTTCAAGGTGCCTCCCGTGAGGAAGGGTGGTGTGCGTGAAGGCTCAGGAAGGTAGAGTGGAGGGGAAATCAATGCCAGAGGGCCCCCAGCACCGGCCTCCCTGCTAGGAGCTCTGGTGTTACCCTTTGGGATGGATGGAGTCTGTCCTGGAACCAAGTGAGGTGTTGAGGGGCTCTCAAGGTGGGGGTGCACCCAGCTTCCCAGCCCTCCTTCAAGAGCCCATTCTGCCACTGAGACTCCAAGCAAAATATATTTTCCTCCAGACTTAGGTTTTGACACAGAAAACAGCTTAGACTAGAAATGTGTCAGCCCCAGCATTGAGTAACCATTACCTTTTCATAAGCAACTCAGGTATGAACCCTTTATGACTCTATGACCTGGGACAAATCAGCTATCTGGTGTTTTATTTTTATTATTGAAGCTTCCACAGAGTGATAGGAATGGGGCTTTGTTAAGCAGAGCAATGTTGCAGAGAAAACGCACGGAGTCCCGGCAGCTCCCTTCATAATTTTACTCCACTGGGAGTGCACTGTTCGATATTTTTTCCCTGAAACTGAAAGCAGGCTGCAAGCGTCCTCATTCCACCTTCCAGGTGGTGCCCTAACCCGAGCCTGACTCTGGGCCTGCACCCCCTCGTTGGGTTAATTAGCCAGAAAGCATCTTTAAAGGACTCAAAATGGTTGTGGCCAAGCCCTCCGGAATGTGAGCAAGACGGAGGGTCAGTGTTTCCAAGAGCTGGAGCGACAAGGACCAGGAGCTGCCCTGTGCTGCCTTTGGACAACCCTTGTACTGACTGGTGGCCTTCCTTCCCTCCTGCCACTAGATTGCTTCTGTGGGAAAGGGAAGTTCGGACAGGGCGGGGGAATGGCAGGAGGGATAGTTTGGTGTTGTCCCCAGTGGGTCAAGAGCAGTTTTGCATCTTCTGTTAATAATAACAAGAAAAGTAGCATCCCCCATACATGTCACGCTTCCCACACTGGAAAATATTCAAGGGCATTGTCTTGCCAGATCTCCCCAAGATCTGTAAAGCAGACAGGGCATATGGATTGTCCACAACTTAGAGGTAGAGAAACCAGTGCCCAGAGGGATGAGGGGACATTTGGTCAGCAACAAAGTTCAGGCTAAAACCTGAGTCTCCTGAGTCCCAGCGCCCCATCACTCCTCGCGGCCAGCACCGCACAGCCCGTTTCTCCCTAGTGAGCCAGGCCGTCCTCTGTCCCATCAGCTCCTAGCACCACACCTCGGATATCATTGCTAGCTAAGGTCAAACCTAATGAGGGGTCTCCCTGAAGCACTGGGTAATTCCATTCCCCTGTACGTCTGCAGCGGGCGCCTGGACGGGGGCAGCATTGTGCCCGTTCTGCTGGAGAGACCACAGAACAGCCTTGACACAAAAGGCCCGGGGTGGTGTGGGGTGGGGTTGTGCCCAAGCGCTCACTAGGGACTCTGACCAGTCAAACCCTGCTCCTGCCCATCATTCCCCTAGCACTGGCCCCATAGGATCCCACACTGTGAGGCTGCAGAGGTCGTGAGACAAGGCTTACTGAGCCGTTTCTCACAGAACCCCTGGCATCAGCCCCTCTTGGCCCTCTTTTATGTCCCTGCCCTTGTCTTTTGTTTGCCCATTTTCCCCAGAACTTCCGTTCCCTTCTCTGGGGTTATCCAGACCTCTGCAAGCTGCCTGAAATTATTTTGGGATAGAGGTGGGATCTAAATCAGTGGTAGGCAAACTACCGCCCTTGGGCCAAATCCGCCCACTACCTATTATTTTTAATAAAATGTCATTGTAACATAGTGATACTCATTAACTTATGTCTTGTTATGGCTTTTTTCACAAAGCCGAAAATATTTGCTATCTGGCTCTTTAAGAAAAGTTTGACTCTAGGGGCTGGCCCAGTGGCGTTTCGTATGGGTTAAGTGCGCATGCTTCGCTGCAGTGGCTGTGGTTTGCTGGTTCGTATCCCGGGCGTGCCCCGACACACCACTTGTCAAGCCATGCTGTGGTGGCGTCCCATATAAAGTAGAGGAAGATGGGCACGGATGTTAGCCCAGGGCCAATCTTCCTCAGCAAAAAAAAATTGGCGACAGATGTTAGCTCAGGGCTAATCTTTCTCACCAAAAAAAAAGAAAAGTTTGACTCTAAAGGAGGGCGGCCCGCCAGAGCTTCTCCGCAGGTGGACCAGAGCCCAGGAAACGAGCCAAGCAGGGGCAAGATTAACAGGAGGGGAAGGTGAGCCCAGTTGTAGAAATTGAGAGGGAGTATACTGGGGAAGGTGTTCAAGCCGGGCCTCCCAGAGAAGGTGAACGTGGCCCTAACTGGATGTACAGGGTCCAGGCAAGCAACATGGAAGACAGATGGAGTTCCTGCTGCCCAGGCCAGCGCAGCCCTGCAGGCAGCTCTGGCTGAGCAAGGGGGCAGGCAGAACGGAAATCTCTCCCAGTTGCAGGGTTTCTGTTTAAACTGGGAGACTGGCTATCCTTCCCAGCATGCTCGAGAGAGATGCCAATCTCCTTGTCTTCCTTGCCCTGTGCAGGACTTCGGAGAGGATGACTCCCTCTACATCACCAAGGTGACCACCATCCACATGGGCAATTACACCTGCCATGCCTCCGGCCATGAAGAGCTGTTCCAGACCCACATCCTGCAGGTGAATGGTTAGTAAATGGCTCCGTGCATGTCATCCCCTCAAAGTGTTCCCAAAATGCTGCTCAGAACAACCCTCCCAACCCCACCCCCGTATTCTGTCTTCTTAAAGAAATATCTGGCCCCATCTCTCTCGTAAGTAAAGGGGAACGGAGGGGAAAGGGCAAAGCCTGCCCACTAATTTCTCTGTCCGGCTTCACCCAAAGCCTCCTCTGATGACATGAATCCTGGTGCGAGGGAAGTGAGTCATTTGGACAAGTCACGCTCCGCAGCTGAAGCTCCAGCAGGCCCCTGTAGAACGTGGAGTATGCCCTAGAGGTGTCACGGCGATGGCAAGCTGCCGTGGTCTTGGATCCAGTGAGAAGCAGACACTGTCTAAAACACTCCACTGCTCTTCCAGGTGGTGTGGACCTGTATAGCTTGTCCAGTTGGGGGGCATTGCTTCCTCAAACAGGCACTGGTTCCCTTCTTCCTCCCCAAGAGGCTCCACGAGCCTCAGCTTGGGCCAAGCCAAGACAGAACCTGAGCAGGTGTGGGAGGTTTTCTTTGCTTCTCACAGGCCCCTCTGTTGCCAGGACTCCTAGAAACTGGGAAGAATTAACCCTCTTGATGAGAACAGCAACATTAACAATAGCCAGTATTTTCCGAGTGCTTACTGTGGCCAGTCCCTGTGCTAATACGTCACATGGACTCTCCCTGTCAATATATTTTAACCCACTTTAGGGATGTGTCTCTAGGTAAGGTCACTTGCCTGGGGTCACACCATCAGTAGGTGGTGTCATTCTAGACCCAGGGCTTGTCCTCTGACCTCTGTGTCACACTGCTGGCTGTCCCAGCCTGTCCACTCCAGCCATCAGAACAAACAAGCCGTCACAGTGCCACGGCAGATCATCGCCCCGGGGAAATTACACTCGTCCATCCAAGCCCCACTGGGCATCACTGAGCAGGCCTGAGTAGGGTGTTCGTGCATCAGGAAATAGTGTGGAAGCTCCAAGTCAGCCCCAGAGCCTTTGTGCCAGCGGGTGTTCAGGGCTTCTGCTCTGAGATAAAGTGAGCAAGGTGTCAAGAATATTTGCATCATGAAGTTCAATTTCGCTTACTTCTGGGATTCAGGTGACAAGCCATTTATGGACAACTGAGTGAGCTCAGCTTGCCTCTGCATTTACCCTGTAGGATGTTTTAGGGATTTTTATATTCATACGTGCCCAAGCCGTATATTATTAGTATTTCCCTTGAGCTGGGATGAACTTTATCCTTTGGGGTTTCATGGCTGTGCTTGTTGGCTTGATTCCAGGCCTAGAATGAAGTCTCTGGATTTCACCAGAAATAATCAGGGGTTCCTAGTTATAACACCCCCTGGGTGAGTGAACCCTGGCTGGGATTCAGAGGCTGGTCTAATGTGCAGCTAGTGTCTGGCCTCTGCCCAAGCCGGGGCCGCTCCAGAGGCAGAGTATGTGCTATGCAGTGTGAAGAGGGCTTTACCATCTACAACTGGCACGTGGTGCCCAGCATCATACAACGTTGTGAATGTTTGGTTGCAAAACAACTCCACATGGTTTGCTCTGGGTCCCTGGGATCCTCAGACAAGCCTGGAAAAGGGAAATCCACCAATATTCCCAGATCCTCAGTCCAGCCCTTCGCATCCTGCCCGCCCAACTTCACAAGAACTGACGGCATAAGGAGAGGCCTTGAGCCTTGTTCCCTTTATTTCCTCCAAAGCAAATCTGTGAGGAGGGGAAGGGAGCCACCTGCCTAGGAACCTGAGTAACTCACAGGTGTGCACGTGTACTCACCTCTGGCTTCTAGAGGAGACTCTGTGGTCTTAAATGCCCTAATATAGTAACTGGCAAGTCCCTGGTGCTAAGAGGGCCCTTCTGCCCGGTGTTCCCCCAGAATTCTGAAACTGAGCTCGTGATATGGATGAGCCAGTTCCTCACTCCCAGTGTTGAATCCTGGAGCAGGGACCAGGCCCACCACCCTCATGAGGTGCTGCTGGGCTCAAAGTAGAGAACAGGCTCCTCCCCCAAGGTGAGAAGTAGAGAGTGCAGCTGGCAGTGGAGAGTTCTGTTCCAGCCCTCCCCAACCACCCACAACCCCCACTTCTCCGACCCCCCCCTCCTACCACCCACCCACCACCCCAGCAATTGCTTAGTCTCAACTGAAGAGACTGCTCTTGGCCCCAGAGGAAGTCTCAACAGGGCAAAACCTTCCCGCTAAGATCCAAAGAGAGGCCACTTGAGATCCATTTTCTAATTGCTGAGAGATTTAAGAGTTCTCTTCTAGCCAAAGTGCTATCAATAGAGTCAGAGGAAGCATGCTGGGACCTCTGTGTTTTGTGGTGGGTTTTCTACCTCATTAAGTCGGTTCACTGTGCTCGGCTCCCACACAGCTGGACTAGGCCATTTGGAGGGCCCAGCTCCATGGGCCCCTGGGGGGGGCTGACTCCCAGGCACTGGGGGTGGCATTTGAGTCCGTTGAACAGCTCCCTTATTGGAGCCCATACTAAAGTAGGCCCAGTGTTGCTTCCCAAAGACACAAGTCCGTTGACCGCTGACCTGGAACAAGACACAAGGTATTCAAAGTATTCCAGAAGGTAAGCTTGCTGTGTTGGACTGAGAGGGAAAAAAGTCTTATCTGTGTGGGAAGATGGGAAGATGTTGAAAATCAAATGGTATGAAAGACACAATCAAGATAGTAACATTTACTGAATACCTACTGCGCACCATCCCTGTTTCACAGATGAGGGAACTGGGGCTCAGAGAGATGATTTGCCCAGGACCCCCAGCCCCACAGTTAGTAACTGCAGAACAGATCTCAACTGCAAAGCCTAGACTCTTGACGCCTGCCTTGCCCTCCCTGCTGCTTCCGGTGGGGCACTGTGTTGTTGCTGTTGGAGAATCTAGATGTGGGATACAGATGTGGTCAGGCAGGAGGTCAATGTTGAGCTGCTGTGGGCTGCACACTATAGAGGATGGGACAGGGACCCTGCCTCATTTATCTCTGCCCCAGTGCTGAGCTCAGGCCTGATCAGAAACAGCTGGCCTAGTGAGAATCTGATGAAGGACCCACAGCAGTGAACATAAGCCTTGGCCCCTGCCCTCAGTGGGACTGAGGTTGGTGAACTGCATGGCTTGGTCATCCAGCTCCAGCTCGGGCTCAGCAGATCACTGTGCAGACTCCAGATGCTGCTCGAGCTCCCAGGAGGCAGGCCCAGGAGGGCTGGGTTGCTGTGGAAGGCTCATGGTGGCAGTGGGCATGAGGAGCTTTGCCAGCGTCGGCTTGGTACCAAAAGCTCTCAGGCAGGAGGGCCTAGGAGAGCCGAGAAGGCACTGTCAGTGTCAGGACTGACGGAACGCTGCCTTGCTAAGGAATCTTCTGAGGAAGGAGTGAGAAGGCAGTAACAAATTCATCTGTGGGATTTTTCCTTTTCGCCATCCATCCCAAGCATGAGTCAAAAGCATAAGATGGCCCTGAGCAGCTGGGGTGGATCTCCGCGCGGTTGCCCAGCAGCGCCGTTGGAGGTCCAGTTTGGGCCCCTCTTGGCCTGGCAGATGGCCTGTGGCTTACTGAGCTGAGGCAGTGCCCAGGACACACAGACAGGGAGCGATGTTCTGTGTCCGTTCCTCCAGCTAGCTTCTCCTCAGAGGGAAGACAGGAATAGGAGAATGATGAAGGGAGGAGAGGGGGCCCTGGGTGGTTGCCTGCTTCTCTGAGGGCTCAGAAGACTCCAAGTGAACAGCAAATGTGCTGGGGAGTCAATGTGTGGCCTGCGGGCCCAAAAGACAGAGATACCACTCCAGGGAACAGGAGCTGGGCTGGTGTTATTCCACCCCAGGCACAGTGCAGACCCAAGCTGGCAACACCTCCAACAAAGGGTCAAGTCATGAACTCTGAGCCAGACAGACCTGAGTTCAAGTCCTAGTGCTGGTACTTCCCTGACATACAGTCTTAGGCGTTTAAACTCACCTGTACAGTAGGAATAACAATAGTACCTCCTGCCTTATAGGCCTGATGAGATATCATGTGTGTAAAATGCTTGGAAAATGCCTGGCACGGATATAGTTCAAAGTCCAAGGTGGACAGACTTGGGGGAGATTTTGGTTTGTCTCAGGCCATACTTAACTGTAGTTGGCGGACACAGATGGTCTGAGCTGGTGGCCCCACTGAGAGCTTCCAACCCATTATGCAGATGGGAAAATCAAGACCCAGAGAAACTTGCCAAGCCAGGAATAAAATATAGACTTCTTCTCCCTGGAGCTGCCGCACTCCCTGGCAGGGGCAGGACCGCATGTACAGGCTGGGTCACCCTCTTCTGAGGCTTCTCCATCCATGACTGTCTTGACCTGGTTGGCTAAAGGGAACCCTTCCAGGCAACTACTACTTCTCTCAGATTATTAGTATAACTTCTTCCCCATAGACCAGGCCTCCTAGAGATGAGGCCCAAACACTGACATGATTTATAACTTCATGCAAACCTCCTGCATTGCTTTCACAGGAAGGAGCAAGAACTTCAGACATAAAATGATTAATCCATTAAATTAAAAACACCCTTGACCTCCCCACAGTTCAGACACGTAGCAATTCATTCCTCAAAACACAATAATAATCTCTCGAATCTGTTTATTACTCCAGCTTGATACTTTTGTGAATGTGTCTCTTACTTAGGACATATTTATGCTGCCTTTCACCCTGGAAATGATCGATGATTCCCAAAGAAAGTGGGCCTCTGTGTTAGGTATTCAAATGTTTTCACTGGATGGTTTTGCAAATGTAAAAGAAAATGAATGTGTTTACCCAGGATATATTGATTTCAAAGGATTTTTAGTGTGAATTAACACAAGAGAAGAGGGGAGATCAGGGCCCAAGAAAAACATTCGGATCCTTGCCTTGTTGCTGCAGAAAGCTGTGCCTCCACTGGGAAGGGACGGATGCTTTCTCAGTCTCTTGAAAATGAACATGCAGAACTTCTTCTGACAACCCATCCAAGCTGGGGTCAAGGGCAGCGGGGTAT